ATACATATGAAGTCTATCTATAAAATTATAAAAATACTTGACTAACAAAAATTATAAATATATTTAAAAGTTTTTAGGTTTGTTATTAACTTTCATATATAATATATAATAATAATAATGTGCTTCGATTTACTATCCATATTGCATATTATAAAATAAATAAGTAAATTAATTTTTTTTAATATCCATATTTCATACGTAAGTAAATAAATAAATAAATAAATAAATTATTTTTTATTATAAAATATTTATTAATACTAATTGTATATTAGTTAACAATTATCTATAAAATCTTTACATATGAATTAAAAAAAAAAAATCTAGTATAAGGCGAAAAATTTAATAAATCTCACTTTAAATATAATTAATGATGCAATACACAAGTATTTAAAATTTAATGCAATATGGTATTTTATGGAGTTTTCGATATTCTATTCAATGTTTATGGTACCTGCCGGTATTACCGGTAATACGGGATACTGGTAGTCTGACAGGACTACCATCTAAATACCGTTTTGGCTGAAATATCGTTTTATAGGGGTTTCATATCGAAAAATACCGGTTTTATCAAAAACACTGGCCAAAATACTAGTCAAAATATCGATTTCTACCAATTTTTTTAAAAAAATTATTTTTTAATTTATTTTATTAATCTATTTATATAAAGTGAAAGCTCTACACTTAATTTTAATATATATACATTCTAGTGAATTTTAGTACTTATTAAAATTACTTTTATACATTATTTATATTCTTATAATAAATAAATTAATTTGATATTTATTAAAATCAGTAAAACCGGACCATGTGCCGGTGACGCGCCTGATATGATTAAAAATACGGTATTTAAAATACAAAACATTTCGACATTTTTGATACATAAAATAGTTATGTACAATATCAGTGTATTGCATTACACTATTGTTTAATTTGTTAAGAAATTTATATTTAAAATTAAAATTAATAATAAAAAAAATGGTTTAATTCTCAAATATTTTTTTTGAATGACTATATTAATTTTTATTTTTAAAATAACATACATCACTAACAAAGATTACCATCCTATATTATAATAATTTTGTTAGATTATATTATTTAGTAACTTTGTAATTAAATTAATTTAAATAATTTTATTTTAAAATTAATATTAATAGGTAATTTTATTTTTATTGTGAAGATAAATATAATTATTTATTTATTAAATATGATTAATTTAATACATTATGTATAAGAAAACTGATAATAAATAATAAATTTATTAATTTTAAATTTATTTATAATTTAAGTTAGTAAATCTTTCATAATTTAAAAAGAAAGATAATGAAAATGGAAAGATTTAGGAAAAAAAATTATGCCTTATAAATCAAATCTAAAATAGGAAATGCAATATTAATGCTCTTAAAATGAACCATAATATCTACTATATATATGTATATTTCAAACCTAATCTATATATATATATATATATATATCATTATATAAAAAGAATAACTTTTTTACAAATTTAGAAACAATTTCCCGCCATAATCATTAATTACATACTAAAAATAGCATAATTAAAAAAGTTTTAACTAAATGTCTATAATTATCTCAATACAACACCTTTTTAATTTTTGGAAAGAATTCCTATTCATATGGATTCTTTCAATTATTTTTGGTATATTAAAACAAAGCGAGATTGTCTATTTGATTTCCAAAAAAAAATATCAATAGCAATAATTTCATAATTATTAATAAATATTTAGTGCAAATAATTTATATGCATACGTAATTTTTTGTTTAAGTTAATATGAAACCAATAGTTGATCTAAATCTATTGATTAAAATTTTCAAAATTTTTCAATCAATTACTTTATTTCTACCTATTTTATTTTTATTTTTATTGATATGCTACCATAAGATTTGAAGAAACATTGGTTAATAAAATTAAAATTTTGTAATTTAATTCTAGAAAATTAGTTGATAAATTTGAACGATAAGGTAACCGACAACAACTCTAGAAAATTACGAGATTATATATATATAATATATTCATATATCAAATATATAAGGGAATTTAGTGTGTAGTCCAAATTTGAGTTCCAAATTCATAAGTCAAATAAGTAATTATTCATAATTTACGAGTCAACACTAATTTTGACGACGTAAATGAAATAGTCAATTATTCATTGTTTAATAAATTACTCAACCACTTCAATTTTTTTTTTTGAATACTTTATATAAAAAACAAAATCATCTAATTGATGAAACAATATAAGATTTATAGTTATAGTATTATTCACATATATTTTTAAATAGACGATAAAAGTTTACAACTTACCTATAAATTCGATATAAAAAAAATTGATTGTATTTTTTTATTCCAAACAATCATATTGCCGAAAAATTTTCCTTAGAACTTGAATCGAAAATTTGAAATTAAAAATCCATTCTCATTTTAGTTGCCATAAAATTAAGTTTAATTCAAAATCTCTTCATAATATAAAGAATTTTGTTCCCTGTTATGAAGGTTAGAGACAGCCCCGAACCATGAGCCATGGAAGATCTCATGCGCTTGCTGCGTGGCCACGTCCCACGCTCCCATCTCCTCCAAATCCACGCGCGCCTTCTCCAGCTCGGCGCCCACCGGGACAACCTCGTCGCCACGCGCCTCATCGGCCAGTACTCTCCAAGCTCCGCCCTCAGAGTCTTCTACAGCCTGCAAAACCCTAACATCTTCCCCTTCAACGCCGTCATCAGGGTTTTAGCCGACGAGGGCCTCGCATCGAAAGCGTTTTCCATCTTCAAGGAGCTCCAAAACCGGCCCCTCTCGCCCAATGGCCTCACATTTTCTTTCCTCCTCAAGGCTTGTTCCAGGTACGCCGTCGACCAGGTTTGTGTCCGGCAGCTCCACACCCATATCCTAAAATCGGGCCTTTTGTCCGATTATGCTGTTTGTAATGGCTTGCTCACAGTTTACTCTGCGGTTATTAAGGATTTACGTTCGGCACACCGCATGTTCGATGAAATGCCCAAGAGAAATTTAGTTGGTCATTGGACGTCTTTGATTTCGGGGTACGCGAAGCTCGGCTTAGCCGAGGAAGTGTTAAATTTATTCATTCTGATGCTGAGTGAAAATTTGCATCCGGAGAAGGAAACGATGGTTAGCATTTTATCAGCATGTTCGAAACTAGCTACTGTGTACATTGAGAAATGGGTGAATGCACTCACGCAGTGTTTGAACGATATCAAGTGCGATAGCTTGGCTCGTGATCATGTTAATACTGTGCTGGTTTATCTGTACGGAAAATGCAGAAAGGTCGAAAAGAGCCGAGAACTGTTCGACAGAATTTCATCTGACGGTAAAAGGAGTGTCCTTTCTTGGAATACAATGATAGGTGCATACGTAAAGAACAGCCGGCCTATAGAGGCTCTGTCTGTTTTTAAGTTAATGATCACTGATTACTATTGTGTCCCCAACCACGTCACAATGGTCAGCGTCCTCTCGGCCTGTGCCGAAATCGGGGACTTCGAACTCGGAAAGTGGGTGCACGAATACATGAAAACCGAAGGTCGAAAGGGCGTATTATCATCTAATGTGATTCTTGCTACTGCATTAATCGACATGTACACAAAGTGTGGCGATTTGCGTTCGGCAAAACACGTTTTTACCCAAATAACCTCAATCGATGTGGTCTTGTACAATGCCATGATCATGGGCCTTGCCGTAAATGGCGAGGCCCATGAGGCTTTGAGACTCTATTCTAGAATGCACGATCTTCATTTACGTCCGAATTCCGCAACTTTCCTCGGAGCACTATGCGCGTGCAGCCACTCAGGCCTCTTACAAAGAGGGCGCGAAATCTTCCACAGCATGATCCGGGAAAATTCAGCTAGCCCCGGACTAGAACATTATGCGTGCTATGTGGACCTTTTATCGAGGTCCGGTTTTATCGAGGAGGCTCTTGGTGTAGTGGGCTCTATGCCTATGGAGCCCAATAACTTTGTGTGGGGTGCCTTACTTTCGGGATGCATGCTCCACAACAGGTTGGAATTGGCCCAGAATGTTTCGGCCATGCTTGTGGCCGTGGACCCCGAAAACTCGGCTGGCTATGTTATGTTGTCCAACACATTAGCCGCCGACAGTCAGTGGCGTGACGTGTTGAAGTTGAGGGGGTTGATGAGAGATAAACGGGTCGGCAAGCAACCCGGGAGGAGTTGGATCAATGTAGGTGGGGTCGTACGTGAATTTGTTGCCGGGTGCGGCTCGTTTGGTGAGATCGGTGGGATTCACGAGATGATGGAATCTTTGTTGAAAGAGATGAGATTGTCTAGCTCATAAGGCAAGGCCTTTAATACACCCTCAAATAGTGTTCTTTAATTGAAATGGCATCTAAATTTAGGCTTTCATTCATGATAAATTTTGGTAATTTTAATTTATCTTGGTACCTGGGGCTGGGATGGAACAAATTACATATTCACTCAAATGTAATTGAACTCACGGTCTATCATCTTAATAGCAACTCAACCATGAAGCAAATATTTAATCCCCAGTCTCCTAAACTATAAAGATTAAAGAATATCTTCTGTTCTAAACTATGTTGTTAAAAAATGGCAATAAAAGTGTGAGAGAGGTGCAAATAATAAAAGGGAAATGCTATTGTCCCGTTACGGAACCATTCCGTCGGGATTTGTAACCGTTAGATTATCATGTAACCGTCGTGGATAGTTGATCTAACAGTTATAAACCCCGACGGAATGGTTCTGTAACGGGACCGCAAAATCTCCCAATAATAAATACCAACAACTATGATGTTCTAAATGGTAAGGTTGCTATTGGTTAGGCATCCATACTTTGTGGATGGATATGCATAGTTTTATTCACAAATGGCATACTTTAAACATATCCTAAACAAAAGTATGACATGATATTTCTCCCTACAAGTATGCATTTTTTTTCAAAAAAATATGATGGATTCACTCGTCTAACTATTAGGCTACCTATCAATAAAAATTGTGTGTAATATAAACAATGAGAAAAGCCACCAATTTTGCTATGGAGCCATTGGATTGCTCGGCTTATGGAACAATCCACACTTATTCACCAATAGTGTATTGACACGTGTCCTACAATAAATACCTTTTGGACATGTGTCAGTATATTAAGCCATGGATAGATAAGAAAACAATCCGATTGCTCCATAGAATTTTTGGAAAAGCCACATCTAAACAGTTAAGTTGCCTCACTAAAAAATTTGTGTGTTCTAACTTCTAAACTATGTTATTCGTAAAGGCCATTAAATGTGCAGGAGATGTGCTAACACCTTCATAAAGGTCATTAAATGTGCAGGAGATGTGCAAATGCTATATATAAATGTAGAGTTTCTTTGTTTGTCCTATTTTAGTTAGTTATTTTTCATTTTTTGCTTGCTAGTTTTTTTACTCGTTTTTAGGTATTTTCATAAGAATTTCGGTCCACCTAGTTATTTATCGTGTGTTTTATTTTATTCTAGTTTTTCATGCTTTCGTTCGTTTTCCGTTGTTTTCTTTTGGTTTGGTGTTTTGGTGGAGGTGTGTTCGGAGCTTTGGCCAGATGCCTGGAATTCGTTCATTCCATGAGACCAGGATGTTGGCAGAGATATATGCCAATTCAAGTTGCAAGCGAGTTTTTTTGTGCCCAAACTGCCACCGGATGTTGAGATTCAAAGGAGCGGAACCGAGGAACGCGGATCAAGGCCATGGGGTCATTCTGTACCCGTCACGCAAGGCTCACGCGCGCGAGCTCTCTTCATGCGATTCCGCAGGCCTTTTTCACGCCTTGCATTGCGCGAGAGCTGAGGACGCGACCCTCGCCCTTCTTCCAAAGCTCGTGCCCGCACAACGACGCATTTTCATTCTCAAACAAGTATTTAATATTGATAACAAGGTTAAGGAGTCGAGGATAATCGTTCATAACATTTCGTAACAATAGGATAAACATAAACGACAAATAGTCGAAGCATAAGCAATACAATTACGGACAAGCTTACCTTTTGCGAATCTAGATTTAATATCTTCTCTCTTTCGGTTCTAAAAGTTCGTTAACTAGGTTAGACGGAGATCAATCGACTAACCCTAAGAATAACACAACTCGCACAAGATGAATAATTCAAAAGCACGATTATCACATGAACAAGAACAATTACCCCTACCCTTAGCAAAGGAATTTAGCTCGTCATATTGAAATTAACATCAAGAGACAATTCAATCAGATAAATAACAGGTAAAACGAGAATGAAAACTTACAATTATTTTGAATCCCAACGACAATCAACGATCACAAGCCTAAATATTTAATCGATTCTTTGAGTGTCACTATCCAAGATCAAAATCTAAGGTAAAGATTATTCAAAACCTGAGAAAAAACTCAAAGATACAAGTCTGGGAATGCTTTACTTTTTTTAACTCCTCAGCATGAGTCTCAATAAATGTCGATTAGAAAACAAGCAAAAAATTCGTCCAAATACAGTTCTTAACGGCGACGTCACGGGCACGAAATCCGTCGCGGGTGCTACGAGTCCATGGTCGCGGCGCGATGCATCGTCGCGCGGGCGCGTTTGGAAGCAGGGTAAGCATTGCGGGCGCGACGGGCTCTTAGTCGCGGCGCAAGGCATGAAAAAGGGTTGCAGAACCGCGCGAAGGGAGCTCATGCGCATGTGCGGTTGAGAACTGAAGATGTGTTGTCGTGCGGGTGCGAGCTTTGGATGACCCCCATGATGCGTTCCTCGGGTTTCGCTCCTTTGAATCTCATTGTCCGATAGCGTTTTTGGGCACAAAAACGCATGTAGCTTGAAGTGGCACATGTCTCCATCAACATCCCGTTCTAATGGACGAAACGAATTCCCAATATTCGGTCAAAGCTCCGACAACACCTCCACCAAACCAAAAGAAAACAACCGAAAATGAACGAAAGCACAAAAAAACTAGAATAAAATAAAACACACCATAAATGACTAGGCGGATCGAAATTCCTAAGAAAAGTCCTAAAAATTGGGAAAAACTAGCAAGCAAACAAGAAAAAATAGCAACTAAAATAGGACAAACACTTATAACTAATTTTACTAAACACTTCTATTAATGAGCTAGTTTTTTAACCATAAACTATGAGTTATAAGCTTGAAATTTATTTATAAAATAGCTATACACTACTTTTACCAAACGTAACTTATATATAAATGTATAATGTACAGGTTACGTGCAAATCTCTTATGTAAATGTAGAGTTTCTAAAAGGTTTTTATAGTTTCTTAAGCCATCAATTAAATTTGATTTAATAGTATTATTGTTCAGTTGAGTGGTTTTTTTTTTTTAAAATGTAAATACTAATACGATTTTTTATAAATGTATGAGAGCTTATATATAAAACTCTATTATTATTTTCAAAATAAACATATCTATATATAGTTTTTTTAATTTATAACTTTCGATTTTAATTTACTACTTTGGAATCATACATATATTGTGTGCATTCTATATATATACATATGAAGTCTATCTATAAAATTATAAAAATACTTGACTAACAAAAATTATAAATATATTTAAAAGTTTTTAGGTTTGTTATTAACTTTCATATATAATATATAATATTAATAATGTGCTTCGATTTACTATCCATATTGCATATTATAAAATAAATAAATAAATTTATTTTTTTAATATCCATATTTCATATGTAAGTAAATAAATAAATAAATAATTTATTTTTTATTATAAAATATTTATTAATACTAATTTTATATTAGTTAACAATTATCTATAAAATCTTTACATATGAATTAAAAAAAAAATCTAGTATAAGGCGAAAAATTTAATAAATCTCACTTTAAATATAATTAATGATGCAATACACAAGTATTTAAAATTTAATGCAATATGGTATTTTATGGAGTTTTCGATATTCTATTCAATGTTTATAGTACCTGCCGGTATTACCGGTAATACGGGATACTGGTGGTCTGACAGGAGTCACAGGACTACCATCTAAATATCGTTTTGGCTGAAATATCGTTTTATACGGGTTTCATATCGAAAAATACCGGTTTTATCAAAATCACTGGCCAAAATACTAGTCAAAATATCGATTTCTACCAATTTTTTAAAAAAATTATTTTTTAATTTATTTTATTAATTTATTTATATAAAGTGAAAGCTCTACACTTAATTTTAATATATATACATTCTAGTGAAATTTTAGTACTTATTAAAATTACTTTTATACATTATTTATATTTTTATAATAAATTAATTTGATATTTATTAAAATCAGTAAAACCGAACCATGTGTCGGTGACGCGCCTGATATGATTAAAAATACGGTATTTAAAATACAAAACATTTCGACATTTTTGATACATAAAATAGTTTTGTACAATATCAGTGTATTGCATTACACTATTGTTTAATTTGTTAAGAAATTTATGTTTAAAACTAAAATTAATAATAAAAAATGGTTTAATTCTCAAATATTTTTTTTGAATGACTATATTAATTTTTATTTTTGAAATAACATACATCACTAACAAAGATTACCATCTTATATTATAATAATTTTGTTAGATTATATTATTTGGTAACTTTGTAATTAAATTAATATAAATAATTTTATTTTAAAATTAATATTAATAGGTAATTTTATATCTATTGTGAAGATAAATATAATTATTTATTTATTAAATATGATTAATTTAATACATTATGTATAAGAAAACTGATAATAAATAATAAATTTATTAATTTTAAATTTATTTATAATTTAAGTTAGTAAATCTTTCATAATTTAAAAAGAAAGATAATGAAAATGGAAAGATTTAGGAAAAAAAATTATGCCTTATAAATCAAATCTAAAATAGGAAATGCAATATTAATGCTCTTAAAATGAACCATAATATCTACTATATATATGTATATTTCAAACCTAATCTATATATCTATATATAAAAAGAATTACAATTTTTTTAAAAATAGTAGGTCAAATTATGGTCAAATCTCAATTAGCATTAATTACATTACATACTTAGTAACTTCTTTTTTT